TTTCTTTCTTTCTTTCCTTCCACAGGCATCGGCAGAATCATCTTTCGTCTTCGGCTCCGCCGGAAGTTTTTTTTTTTTTTTTTTTTTTTTTTCTCTGTAGCTGATGGGGATTAATGCATGACATGGTTTTCTTCCTCTCCTTTTCCTTCTGTCTCCCCCGCCCTGCAGGGAACTCAAAGCAGCCCGCCTTGCCCAGACCCTCATGACGGACCAGCCCTTAGGAAGTGCCGAGTTGCAAGAGTCTGAAACCTCTTCTAAGCAGAACAGCAAGCGCCTGGTGGGGGGGAAGAGCTGTCGCTCTTTTAGCTTTACTTTGGGTTACTGAACTTCTGTGTTGTCCGAAAAGCTCTGGCTGCTGAACGGCCCTGTGAAAGCAGAGGGTCTGCACAGACCAGTGCCCCATATCAGCTCTCCCTGTTGTGGTTTTTGATTCCCTCATTAGTTACGATGAGATGATGGCTGAGGGAAGAATGACTAGTTTGCAAGTGTCAGATCACTGGTTTTAAGATTACTGTCCTCAGCCTTTTACCTGTTTAATTTCTTGTGTAACCGGTCTTGTTCTAGACTAAGAATAGCTTTGCCGTACAAGGGCAAGGATGGCATTTCTTCCACTTGCTTCCCGCTTTGTTTAGTTGGGCCCTATTATAGGTGGTATTTTTCCGCTCTTAAAGCTCTGGCCACCTGTGTATCTTTTAGAGGGGAGATGGCAGATGTACGCGGAGAGAGCATCTACAGCTGGGTCCTCCCAGAAGTGAGGAGGTGGAGACTATGTCTCCTGATGTGTAGTTAGAACTGTCTACGGGTCCTCCCAGAAGTGAGGAGGTGGAGACTATGGTAGACAGTTCTAACTACACATCAGGAGACAGACCGGTTACATAGCAGTCCTGGTGGACATTGGGATGCAATTCCAGTGGCGTTTCACTGAGGGGTATAGACAGTAAAAGGAAACACTTGGCGTTAGGGGGCCTTACTTGTGGAAGTTAAGGAAGACTTCCCCTCCCTTAACTTCCAGCAACAAGCCCAGTATCCTGTGGCTTACGTGGTTAAGCTTTTGCAGACTAGTCCTTGATGCCTGACTTGTTTTATGCCGGTCGGCAAGGACTCCTTGCTTGAAGCGGGGGAAATGGCTGTCACGTGCCGGCAGGCCGGCCGTCTCCCTTCCAGTGTCCTACATGTGGTGCAACTGCCTGCCTGCAGGCTGCAGCCTCGCTGCAAAGGCGAGGGAAACCAGAAAGGGCTTTTTAGGCCTTGTCAGGTTGGCTTTGAGGTTTTGTGTTGTTTTTTTTTTTTTTTGGTGGTTTTTTTTTTTTTGGAGTTGTCCGTGTATATGATTAATACTTATTAAATCTCACCCCCTTGCCTAGTGTAACCTTCTGAGTCCTTGTCGGCTGTGCCTAGCTGCGGTAGTTGGGCAGGCAGGGCGTGCTGTTAGGAGGGAGAGCTTCCAGTTGGTAACTTGGGTTATTTTCAGGTTTTACTGAAGCTTGTTCTCAAGCGTCGGACAGTGATGGCTTTTAAAGTGTTAGGTCCTATCCTCTGGGACGCGAAATGTGCAATAAAGATTTTATCCTTTTTACCCACGGTGGAGTGACTCTTTCTTTCCCCCTGCGGCCCTCCTTCCCCACCGCGGGGGGGCTCTCGCCGGGGCAGGCGGCGCAGGCG